CTAGCCCTTCCAGGTTATCACATAAGCTTCTATAATTATCATAGCTTCCTTTGGTTTATCATATACATTCTAGAATTTTAGAAAAGCCAAATTACCTAGGGTTATTACATACTTCTTTGAAATGATGACCACTCCAGCCAGTCCCATTGAGGTTATTGCCAATCTTAGCCTTGTGTCACTGATTGCTTACCTCCACCCACTGTTCATCGGAGTAGAGCTTGAGCAAAACACAGGGGTGGGGCTTGCTGAGGGTATCACGGTCCAGAAGCCCATGGCAAGACACACGAAGCTCCACTCTGGAGGCCCCTAGGGTCATAGCTGGGGGCTCAGGCACCCATTCAAGCTCAGATTCCGACATGGTCCTACAGGGAATGTGATCCAGTAAAGTAGACAGGGAACCACAGAGACATATGGGTCCATCCTTATTTTCTCTAATGAGCTCTGGTCCCCTCAAAAAGGTTTTGAACATTAGCATATATTCCCCATATTGCCTAGCACATAAACCCCTTTCCTACTCCTAGAGTATACCCCCCATCTCTCCTCTCCCCATTCCACCCATGCATGAAAGCATGGAATAGCCTGGCTGGTTCCACTTCTGGTTGGGGGAAGGGGCATTCTCATCTCCAGGGGAATGGAGTAATGAGATCCCACCTCTTAGCCAGGACTGTCCCTCCCTCTTCTGGTCTTGGAGGAGAATGAATATCTCTGCAAAATTCTTGAGCCCTACCTCCCACTCCTCATCACCCCCTCCATAGTGTCAAGGAGACATGGAGAACCTCTCTACCTCCCATCCCTCCTGCTCCCAAAATCCTTACTCAATTAGGTCAAGTAGCTGAGCTTTTCTTGAAATCAGAGTGCTGATCAGACCTAAAGAGAGAGAGAGAAAAGGTCAACTGAGGAATGGACAGGACTCCCTTACTCCCAGTTGCCTCCAAGAGCTGAGACCATCTGAGTTTATCTTCCTCTGGGTCTGGGTGTCCCTTGCTGGGAGGAGGGGAGTCCTGGCAGCTGTGGTGGATAGTGGGGTCATCGATTTCTCCTTTTTGCTGCCTCAGCACCTTCTGGTCATTTCCCGACTCTGAGCCAGAGGCTGCACTCAGCCTTGGCAGGAGTGAGCTGGGGTGGGGTGTTCTGAGCTGGAGGCAGTGAATGAGCCACTGAGGCTTCTGGAGGGCTGAGAGTTGGGAAGAAGGGAGGCAGGGGCATCAGGAGATCCAGGGTCAGATGGCTGGGGAAAGAAGGGGGCTGAGTCCTGGGTGAGACCCACTGGGTTTGGGAAAGTGTTGTCTGGTCAAGGTTTGAGCTGGGAGCTTTCCTCTACCCTTGTGCCCCTGGACCTATATCAGCTCATATGGGCTCTTTGAGGGGAATGGGGAATAGTGAGTTGGGGAAGTTGGGGTCACATCCCCTCCCTATCACACACACATTGGGAAAGCTCTCTGTGTCCCTGGCAGGAGCTCCTACTATGACAAACTCTCTCTCTCTCTCTCTCTCTCTCTCTTCTCTCTCTCTCTCTCTCTCTCTCTCTCCCCCCCCACCCCAAGATGTTCTCACACTTCCCGGCAGCCTTGGCACTGTCTCTTAGCGACAGGGTTTTGGGGGAGCCATGGTTCCCTTCCTCCCTGCCCACTAGGCTCTGTCTAGCTAGGCTCGGCTATCCAGCACTGATACCCAGTCTCGGACTCCAGCTCTCTCTCACCTCCCCAATTCTGGTGCCAAGCCCTTGGGTGGCAGTGGGTAGGTGTATGCTAGGCAAGGAGCAGGTTGGGATTGGGGACCTAAGAAGTGCACATTTTTGTGTCTGGGTCTGTTTGTGCCTCAGGATAATGATGTCTGTGACACCCCCACTCCTTTGTGAGTCTCTACTAGAGTATCAGAGAGTGAGTGTGTTGTCAAGCATTTTCTTGTGGGTGCACATGGCTTTGTGACTCCAGGCTATGTGTCCTTTTGATTGTGTGTCTGTCTTCTGTTAGGCATAAATGGTTATGTGCCCCTCTTTACTATCACCCCCTTTTTCTAGCCCTGTGCCCATCTCCTTGACTGTGTTTCCCTCCCTGGGTGTGTGTGGGAGTGTCTGGCTGTATTGTTGGGTTACAGCACAGGGTGACCTGTACCTCTCCACCTTCCCTCAGGTCTTCTGCTCCCCAATCTATGATTTCTTCTATCTGAGGGGTCCCCACTCCTAACCTCCAGGTAGGGGACATGGGTGGGGGGAGGAATGGAGCAAAAGGAAATCAGGGATGGGTAACCCCCCTTTAGAGGCTTGGGAGGTGTTGCCATGGGGACTGGGTCAGGAATAGAGGGGCTGGTGGGGGCAGTGCTCACCTGTGGGGGTCCTGGATAATGGGGGGGGGCGCCTCCTTTTCTCTCTCTTGCTTTGCTGCTCAGCTCGGCCAGCTCCCTCGCCGCTCCAGCCGCTGGCGCCGGCTGAAGCTTCTGCTCTGGCTCTGCTGCTATTTATGGGGCCTGGATGGGGAGGGGTGGGGGGGCCGCAGCACAGGCTCCCCCCCGGCACAGACAGGGAGGGGAGGGACAGGGCCGCCGCCCAGGAAGCTGCAGTGCTTGGGGAGGAGGGTGGGCTGGGGGTTGATGAGACCAGGACTCCCATCAGTACATTGACATACATACTTCCCCTTGCAGACACACACACACACACACACACACACACACACACACACACACACACACACATGCAAACACACACACGCACACAGAATCACAGCTAAACGTCTTACCACAGTGACATTTGCAGGTACACACAGTGACACATACGTAAAATAACAGTGAAATAAACACAGCGGCATTCAAGCTCACATGTGCCCTGACATACATAGTCACTCTCATTTAAACACAATGTAACACAATGAGAGTTATAGCTAAACCTGTGGGACAAGTACATGTATACAGTGATATACAAACAAGCACAGACAGGGATGCTAACAGATTTTTGCTACACACGGAATCTTACATGTGCGCCTGGCACCATTCACAATAATAAAGGAGAGATACCCCAGAACATTTCTCACAAACCTATCCAAACCCAGAATGCAATGATAATAACTGACATTTGTAGGGCATTTGAAGGTTTACAAAGTGCTTTCCTTATTTTATTCCAGTGGCCAACATGTAATTTTGATCAATTATACACCCTCCCTCAGATGACACATCAATTCAGTTTTATGGATGAGTTATGTTCCCCTGATCACTTTTATACAGGGTAACAGATACAATCACTTAAGAATCCATAATGATGCAATCTGGAGACCCAGAAAACCAAGGGCCAGGGTCGCCCAATGGGAAGGAATGAACACTGGAGGACCCGCAAAGCAATCTGATATTTCATTACTTCCCTCTCTGACTCCCATCACATGAATTCCAGATATGGGAAAGACTGCAGTCCTGGGAGGTCCACTGCTACCTACCCCCACAAAGAAACTAAGGAAGCATCCATGGACCATGACACTCAAGGGAACACTTCAAACTCCTGGTGAGTGCAAGCCTTTGGCACGCGGAGAAATGGAACTTAATAAGTTTGGGTTGATTGAGGGATAAAGGATACGCATCTGTCAGATAAGCCCAACAGCTTTCAAAAACAGCACAATGCCTGGCACATAGGAGTTACTTAATAAATCACATTCTTTCATTCAGGCCCCGCACACTAGACTGAGGTCCTTCCACATCATTTAGAATCAGAAGAGTAGGAGTTCAGAGCCCAAGGTTATCTGGTTAAAGGTTATCTTGTCTAATCCATCATTTAATCAAAATGGAAATTGATGCATACCCTCTTTCAGAACTTATGCCCCAAATTACTGTCTCTTCTGTGGCACAGTAGAAAAGAGCCGTAGCTTTGGAGTTATAGGATGTAGGTTCAAATCTTACCCATCGCTTATTACCTATGAGACACTGGGCAAGTCTCTTAATTTCTCTAAGCCTGTTTCCTCATCTATAAAATGGAAGAGGGGGTTGGACTATCAGGGGTCAGCAAACTATGACACTGGCCAAATCTGCCTCCCTCCCAAAAATTTATTTTAAAAATGTAAAAACCATTCCTAGCTCTGGAGCAGGACAAAAACAGGTGGCAGTCTGTATTTGGGGCCATAGTTTGCTAATCCCTGGGCTACAATACTCTGAAGAACCTGTTTAGTTTTAAAGATATGATTCTGTGATGCTAAATGGTGTGGAGCGATCCAGGATAGGTCAGCTTTCAACATGGCACCCAATGGACAACATGCAGAGCATCATTTTTACTATTATTATTTTAGGCAATTGGGGTTAAGTGACTTGCCCAGAGCCACACAGCCAGTAAGTGTTATGTGTCTGAGACCAGATTTGAACTCAGGTCCTCCTGCCTTCAGGGCCGGTGCTCTATCCACTGCGCCACCTAGTTGCCTCTCATACAGAGCATCAGAGGCCCACCTGACTGACCTATATCATCCAGGCGAATGTACAAACACATAGGGTCATGAAAACAAAATTTCCTCCTGCCCAGAACATCTCTTCCATGCATGGCCACGCCCTACACCCTTTCCCTACACACAGTTGCTACAACTGTGTGCCCAAGACCATACATTAGGCATAGCTTCTGCCCATCTATCTTCCTTTGAATATGTCAGATGCCTCATGGGTCTGGTTGTCATTGAATAGTCCCTAAATGAATTGACTTGCTCCTTTGATTCTATCCCACCTCTCCCACCCCCATTTTGGGGAAGGCATAGATGCTGCATGATTCCTGCCCCTATTGGCTGGGGTATCAGGTAATGGTGCTGATTCTTTTCCATTACCTCAAATCTTCTTGCCATCCTCTCCCTCCCCACCAGAAATTTTTCTCCTCATTTGAGAGGAGCTGTCTGATTTGCCATTTCTTTTCTCAGCAGGGAGATGGATGATTAGACCTGGGCAGCTGCAAAGCTGGGAACTGGGGTGAGTGTGTCTGTGGGGTAGGGGGATGAGACAGCAGGGTGATGGGGGCAGTGGGTGGTAGAGAGATTCAGAGGCGGGTAGTCATTTTGGTTTCTTTATTCTGTACAACTTAAGAGAGATCCCCCTGGGGGTAGAGGGACAAAGATCCACCCCCCAACCCCACCCATAAGGAGGGAGAAAAAGCTTCTCCCTCCCCCCACCACCAGAGGAAGAGAGACAGAGACAATCCCCCTTCCCACTAAGGAGATCTCTTTCCAACTCTCCCCTCCCCTCCCCTGCCCCTAAGGGGTCAGGCAGGAGGAGCCTGGGGATGCTGGGGGAAGGGGACATCTGAGTCTCTGTTAGGCACATGGCTGGGGGCAGGGAATGGGGGGTGGGAAGAAGGTTCACTGAGGGTAGTATCAGTCTGTTCCAAGTTCATTGGTTCCTACAGGAGACAAACCACAGGAAGAGTTATGTTCGGGATGGAAAGGGTAGCAAGAGGGAAGCATGGTGGGAGAAGGAGCTAGGTCAGCTGGCTGACAGACAGTGCTAGATCAGGGTAGAGGACTAGGGGCTTGTGGGGTGGTGGGGTATTCCCATGTCCCACTCACCCTCTCCCCCTGAACCTGAAGGTTCCAGGGGTCTGCTGCGATCAGGTTCCAGTTTGTCACAGGACTGTGCTCTCCTAGTCCGCTTGGGCTTCAAAGGGGCTGCTCTTCGCCCCACACTGGGAAGTCCTGAAAAAAGAATTCAAACCCCAGAGTGTATTGGGTTCATTACCTATGCTATTTAAGGCACATTTGGTCTGGTGCCTCCTGCCAGAACCCAGCTGTTTCACAAGATGGAAGTCTAGAGTTCCCATTCCTCCTCTTCTAGGTCTGGGGTACCTGGAGCAGATGGGAAGGGACCTCTAGATCCCCCAAGCTGGAGTCAGCTATCCAGCTTCTTAAGACATGCCCCAGCCCATCTTGTAAACTCTTCCCTCCCCCCTCAGTTGGCCCCATTGCCCCCAACCTCATTCTTTACCTTGGGCCTCTGGCTCCTCCTGGTCTCGATGAGAACCCAGCCTCTGCCGGGGCTTTGCGGCAGCTGGGGCCTCAGCATCCTCCCTGCCCCCTGCCTCCAGAGGAGGCCTCCGGCCCCGGGGCACGGCTACTGGCTTGGGGGGCCGAGGAGCTACAAGGAGATCCTGGAGGTGGGGGACACCAAATCATGTCAGCCCCAGTTCCTCATAAGCCCTTGTCCCTCTCCTGCCATCTCCCCCTGTTCTTACCTTGGTGCTTCGGGCCAGGATCTCCCTCTCTGAGAGTAGGACTCCCTCTTCTCCCTCCCCTTCAGCAGAGGCTGGGCTGGGGCTCTGCCTACTGTTGTTGGGGGCACTTTCCTCAGCTGGGGGGGGGGCAAACAGAAAGCCAGGAGAATCTGTCAGTTCTCTCCTCCTTAGCCATCCCTTTACTCCTGCTGCTTCCTGAAAGCCCACACTTGTTCCTTCCTATCAGACATCGCTGCTCCACACAGAGATGGTCTAAGGAATTCAGCCCCCAATTCCTTCTATTTCCTCTTGGCATCATCTTGCTACTTGCCCTGCCTCCAAAGTCCCCCAATCCTGGGTCTTACCCTGCTCAAGGGCTGTGTGGAATATGCCAACTGTGGATTCAGAGGGAAGGAAAGGGCCTGACCACATGCATAACCTTCCCACTGGAGCCACAGACTCTGGAACCTACCAGGGCCCAGCCAGGAATTCTAGAACCTACCAGGGCTCAGTCAAAAACCCCAAAAGCTAACAGGGCAGAGCTAAGCACCTCAGAATCCACCAGGAAAGAGCCAGGGACCCCAAAATCTACCAAGGAAGAGCCAGAGACCCTATAAACAACTCGGAGTCCCTCTCAAATAGCTCACATTAATTCTATGGGCCACTCACCAGGCTGCTGGTTCTAGAACCATGTATGCCAATCAATTTGGTTCATTTCCTTTTCTGTGGAATTTACAGCCTTTGCGGGAAGGGACTTCAACCACTCTCTCTCCCTCTTTCTCCCCCACCCCCAATTCCCTCAGTGGTTTTATGCTCAATGGTAGGAGTTGGTATGGAGGATGGCTGTAATTGTGGTGGTAGATGGCAGCTTAAAGACAGACAGCCTACTATTGTCCACATCCCTTTCTTTCTTCAGGCTGGGGACTGGGTTTTTTTCTAGAGAGACCTGCTGGCTTTCTGTCAGAGGGTGTCAACATGCTAAGGGTATGTTTAGTTGATGCCTGATCCTAAGAAAAGTGATTGTGGGTCAGGGAAGGAAAATAGCCTCTGGGCTTTCCAAGAAATATGTGCAAGGATTTATTCTAGACACTTAACTGGAAATACTTTCAAATGATCTGAGCCCTGGGATGGAGACTATTACTCTAGGTGAAGTGCTGGGAATACAGCCCTACCACAGACTTAGAAATACTTTGGCCTGATCTTGGTCTTGGGAGAGAAGGAAGAGTAGCAAATAACAGTAACAACAATGATGATGATGATGATGATGATGATGATGATGATGATAATGACTCACATTTTTATAGCTTCCAAAGCACTTTTCTTATAACTACTATGTGTAGATAGGTAAGGCAAGTATTGTTATCCCCATTCTACAAATGATGCAATTGAGGTTTAATAAGATGAAATTACTTTCCCAGATACAGAAATACAACATAAAACAAACCTATATCCAATGTCCACTGTGCTGGGCTCTGGGGAACACAGACAAGTTAGATTAAGAGAGTCTTTGCCTTCAAGGAATCAATCTCCAGTCTAGCAGGAGAATTCATAATCTCTAAATGTCAGAGCTAGGGCTTGAGCCCAGATCTTTTGCTGCAAAGTACAGTGTCATTAGGTCTAGTCTAGGTGATTTCTAGTTCCTAAATCTATCTATAAATCTATGATTCTCTGAGCACCTACCTCCTAGGCTTCAACCTCTCTATGTGTCACTGCTGGTGGTAGAGCACAAGGGAGGCAGTAATGGTCCAATGGGAAACTTCAGAGAAGGGTATTCTGATACAACAGATACAACTCAAACATCTGGCAGTGGTCAGTGGCTTGTCTCCATCGACACTGCCTTCAGGAAGCCTTCCCTGATCAACCTGAGTTGTTTCTGACCTTTCCCCTCAACTGGCACATAGCATTTAGTTTTGTCTCATTCTAATGTACCTATCATATACTACTGTGTATTTATTTGGGTTTGCATCTTATCACCTTACTAGATTGTAAGCTTTTTGAGGACAAGCACCATATTTTTTCCAAGCTTTGCCTCTCCCTTGCACCCTATACACAGTAGGCACTTAATAAATGTTTGCTATATTGTATTGCAGGCTCATAGACTTTGCTGCCTTGCATACAATAGGCCCTTTACTGTTTGTTGGATTGGATTGATCTCTCTTTTACTCTCTATCCCTTCAGCATATATGTACGTATGCACACATACACATACATAATCAATTTATGCTACAGGGGAAGAAAAGCTCATTTAACATACTTTCTTGGATAGGTATATTATTTTCTTAGAGTGGAATTCTGTTAAAATGAATATACTGTTGGAATTACATGCCCTAGATCAAAGGAATTGAAGGCGAAATATGTTCAATGAAGTTATGAGTTAAATAGGTTATGAAAAGAAGTGTTGTGAACCTCATAGGGGAAGGAGGGAAGATATCACACACCATTCCCTCTTCTCTGACCTTCCTACCATCCACTACCCCACCTTGACTTTTCTTCCCCAAATAGTATAGAATCATAAAACTTTGGAAATGGAAAGCTCATGAGATATCTTCTGTCTCCTCAGATGAGAAACACTATTAGTAGCAGAGCTGGGACTGGTACCAAATGTGGACTCTGCACATTTTATCTAGCCTTCTCTCAGTGATGCTGCTTCCCTTACTACACTAACTCTCAGATCTTGTGAGGCGTGTACTTCAGGTGGGAGCTTTGGGGAGAACAGGGTAGTGAAATGTTTGAGAGGGGAAAACTGAAGGGAAGACCAAAGGCTGGACTTTGGCTCTCCTTTCCCCAACTACAACTCAAAAAACATCCAATCAAGTGTTTTCTTCATAGAATGACTGATGCAAAGATAAAGCCCAAAGAAAGCATTTGCTGTATGGGATTGTTTGTTGTACTGAATGCATTATAATATGATTTCCAAGGCATTATTAGTTTAAGTTACTCACAAGGCAACATCTTTGCTCTACAAAACAAATCAATGACTTTGTTCTACAAAATCCCCTTTGTAAGAGATTTTTATACCTTTGTGCATTTGGTGTTTTGTAAATGATCTAGTCTTTTCAATATGTTTATGCCTTGTCCCTCCAACTGGACTGTAAACTCTTTAAAGACACGTCTTTTGTTCCTTTTTTATCTTTGCCCTCCACCTACTCCCCAACTCAACACCTGGCACGTAGCTCAGCCAATGTTGCTGACTGACTAAGGAAGCTGTCCATACCTATGTGCCACGTAGCCTCTGCTCGACGCATGGCACTGAAACTTGGTTTGGTGCTCTGGGCAGGTGGAGGTGGCTTCCAGGACCCAGGCCCTGTAGGGGAGAGGGGAAAGGAGGTTGTAGGGTCAGAAGAGGCTGGGTAGAGTGGGAGAGGAGAAGAAAGGTGATGGTAGTAACTCTTCTTTCACCTGCATCGTCAGAAGAGCGCCGCCTCTGCCAAGGTTGGACACTGTTTTCCAGGTCAGTGTCTGTACCCTGAAATGAGAGCTGGGAGTCGCAGTAGTAACATGAAGTGGGAGAGCTTTTGACCCCTCAGACTTTGTGGGGGAAAGGAGACAGATGCCTCCCTCCCTCCTTCCCTAGCTCCTTATACCCCTCAGATTTTCTCACCTCTTGCTTCCCATCAAAGCTCCAGCCCTTGGCTCGACCCATCCCAGGAAGCGCAATTCCATGAACCCTTGTTGGAGGCATCACTCCAGATACTGGGACTCCCTCCCCTGGCTCTGCCCCCTCCATGCCCTGGAATAAGACCCCAGCTCCATTACATACAGCTTTGGATTAGGAAGGAAGACCCTGCTGCCAACACTGATTCTGGAGTAAACAACTCCAACTTTCCCTGGAAGAGCTGTCCACCAACACTCAGAGATTCTCTCCTCACTTGCTCTTCACTCAATCCTCATCTTTTTTTTTTTTTAAAGACAGTATTCCCAGCAGATCCTTGGCTTTTACCCTTAAAGGGAGTTATTCATTTGCCCCCTACCCGCTTTTACCCCTGGACTTCTTCCATTATTAACTTCTCAAATGGGTGTATAGGGCAGGGACAGGTTGGACTTTCTATCTTACCTGTTTTCTTCGGAAGGAGGGTGCCCGGCTCCCCCCCAACCCTGGGAGGAGTCCACTTTCCTCCTCGGGACTCCAGCAGGGGGTGGAATTATCACCAAGGCTTGGGGGATCTGGGGTGGGAGGGCTCTCCTCAGTTGGGGGTGGGGGAGGAGGTGGGGGGCAGGAGGAGCCCAGGGGTGGGGGATCCTGATCCCCTCTCCCCCTTGAAGCTCCGGGGGCGACGGAAGTGAAACAGGCCTCGTCGTCTCTTCTTCTGGAGTGGGGGCAGCGGGGGCTCTGCAGGACCTGGGCCTGGGCGAACTGTCCTCAAGGTCCGGGGATAGCTGAAGAGAGGGGAGGACTGCATGTGGGTGGAGACATTTACTGACCAGACTTCCCACTATCTACACACCAGGAGACATGCCTCACAGATGCAATGTTCACATGGCACAAATTTTTTTTCTGTCTGGCCTTCTGTCTCTTTTTTGGTGAGGCAATTGGGGTTAAGTGACTTGCCCAGAGTTACACAGCTAGTGAGTGTTCTATGTCAGAGGTCAGATTTGAATTCAGGTCCTCCTGACTCCAGGGCCAGTACTCTACCCACTGTGCCACCTAGCTGCTCCTGGGCTTCTGTCTCCCTGGAACTCCTTTTTGCTGGGAAGTTCTTCCTTATATCTGTCCTAAAGGTCTCTTTAGGTAGTTTAATCTCTTGCTTCTGATCACTCAGTGGAGATGGTGTATTGAACCTTTCAGAGAACTGGAGCCTTCAGGTGACTCTTTGGCTTCTTATCTCCAAGCTGACTATTCTTTCCAGGTTTGATTTTTTCTTTCTCTCTAATCTCTCTAAGACATTCCTCTCAGCCCTCTCCAAGTTTTTCAGGCCTTGTCTTTGTTCAGCTGGCCTAGGGCTCTAATGATCTGACCAGTGCCAAAGATAATGGCCAGATGACCACTTGGCTTTTTGATCAAATATCACTGGCTTGCTCAGGAGTCCAGTGCCCTGAAAACCCTAAAGCACCACACAAATGTGTGTTGTTAGAGTTGTTATTAGGTGCCTATTGGTACACTCCATTGTCACATGCAACCTGTACTTTGGGACTTTTCTTCTTCACTCTACCTGTGTCTGGCCAGTCATTGTTTCTGTCATCTGAGTAGAGACTTTCTTTTAAGGTTGTGAGCCTTCTAGGGAATGTGAATAGGGATCCAGAGAACAAATAATGAAAGTTGAGGAAGAAGGAGAAAGGGGATGAAATATCCCAGAGATGTGGGCTCTGGAGGGAAGAATTTAGAGAAAATTATATGGAATGGGTCCCCTAAGAACCTAAGGAGGACTTTCTCAGACTCAGTTCCATAGCATTTTTTAAAAGCAATCTTCAGAACTTCTACTACCAAAGATCTTTTACTACCTATAACCTATAGGTTTTTAAAATGGCTTCATCCTCCCTGGCTCTTTCTACCTCGAATCTGTTTCCCTACTTCTTCTTGGCCCCTGCCAATGAACTTCTGAGAGCTTCTATGTAGGAGCTGCAGAGAATTTGGATATTAAATTTCTGTGTATAAAACCAGTTCTGCCTGAGACTATAATTCACAGTCAGGTTTTAGAACTTTTGGAGATCAGTCTAAAACATCCTGGTTACATATAGTATAGTTTGGGTTGTGAAATGCTACTCTTGGGGAGACCCTTGATTGGGGTGGGGGTAGGGGGCACTTCTGAGGGAGCAGGCAGAGCTGTCTATGGGAATAAGTTGGGCAGCTTAATCCCTCTCCCACGTGGGGCACACCTGGAACTTTCATCCATGACCCTCCGACTAAAGAAATCCTCCAGCCCCTCATCCAGCTGAGTGGCCGTCCCATTCTCTGGTCGGTTCCCAGGTCCTGGTGCCTGCTGGAAAAGTGACCACCATCTTAGCTTGAACAGGAGTTCCTGCCTTCCAGTCCACATGGAATTTCCTGATTTGACTCAGGTTCTTGTCCTTTCTTGGGCACCAAAGAAACCAGGAGGCTTTGTCTATACTCCTCCACCCCAACCCTGACCTGGTTTATGGGACTGAAGACCATTAGAACTAAAGAATTAAAACTAAATGTTGAGGAAGGGACTTCAGCTTCTTAATTTTACCAGTGAGGAAACTATGACCCTGGAAGATGAAATGATACCCAAGATCACACAGCAGGAAGTAGCTGAGCCAGGAGACCCCAGGTCATCCCCTGGCTCCAAATCTATTGCTCTTTCTACTGTATTAGGTTGTTTGCTGCCTTTTGCCTCAGGTGAGAGAAACTGTTTTCCACCACTAACTGCTAGGCAATAGTTTTCCATCTTTGGGTCTTTTTGGCTCATACCCATATCTGTTAGATAGAATTAGGACTTTCTGCTCTAGTTATTCATGGGCCTCAAATAGGGAGGCTGGGGGTTCTGGAATTTGGGGCTTTAAAGCCACAACACTTAGGTCTGGAGTTACTAAGTTGCTAAAGACTGTCATATTCCCCTGAAAGGTCCCCAGGGACTCACGCTGGGCCTGCCAGGCCCTGGGGGGGTGGTCCTGGGGGGCCTGGGCCGTCCTTGTGTCTGATGCCTCAGTTTGTAGCCATGGGTGGGCAGCTCTGACAGGCCCTCCCAGGAGCCACTGGGGGCGGGTTGATTGCCCCCTAGGGCTGAGAACCAGCCTGGGGGTACCCCCAGCCCCCCCATCTGGCCCTCCATGTCCTGCGGACTCCCACCTGTGGGAATAGCTGTGTTAGAAAGGCTAGGGATTGGGGAGTTGCGTTGGGTGGTTAGGGAGAAAGGAAGAAAATGGGGCACAGTAGAAGATGAGGGTGCAAAGACAAGGGGGCAGAGAAAGAGGTACTGAGAAAATGGGACATAGGGGTGGTGGGAGTGGGAAGGGAGGTAGATGAGGACTGGGAGTGACTCACTGATGAAGGCAGATACAGGCCGGATCTTGCGACAACGTTTCTGTTTTTTGATAGCCATGGTATCCTGAGGGGAAAGGCAGGGTTAGAAGACTAGGGTCCTTTAGAATCCCTGTCCAGAGCTCCCCACTCTTCACAGGAACAACAACACGGTCTCCTCATAGCTCGTCCCTTTTCCCCACTCCCTACAAAGCTGAGGAGTAGTGGGGGCAGGAGGACAGGGAAATCAAGGGGAGGAAAGTAGAAGACTGGGCTATGGGATGAGGTTAGAACTGGTGGGATGGAGTGGGGAGTAGAATCCAGAGAGGGAAGGGGAAGCTACAGAGATGACATTGAGACAAAGCTGGTGTGGCAGAAGGGGCTGGGATAGGCAAGTCCACGTTAGGAATACACAGGGTTCAGTGGGAGGCTCACGATGTTGGTCCCGAGCTCATCATCTGTGGTCTCTTCATGGTCATGGCCCCGGCCCCGGCCCCGGGCCTGGGAGGACAGTTCTTGCCCTGGGCCTCCTCCGCCTGGTTGCTCTGAAAGGGTCCTCAACTGGGCTAGGTGACGGGCCTGAGAAGGATAAGAATGGGGGGCAGAAGGCTGAGCCCCTTGTACAGGGGAAGCTCCTTAGGCCCTGTTCTTTTCTGAATGTCAATCTCAAGGAACCAGTCCACTACCCAAGATCCCTGGGGAGGAAATGTTGCCTGGGGAGGGAAAGAGGGAGGTAGTCAATGGGACATTGTAGGGGTAGGGATATGGCCAGGGCCAGGCTAGAAGGTAGGTTTGGCCTAGGTTGGCATGCCTAGGTGTCCCCCCCAGGGCACAGATCCTCACCAGACTCTTATGAGAGTGGTACAGTTCCTGCAGAATCTCATCCACTATAGAGTTGGTCAAGTAGGTGACGACCGAGAGCTTCACCTCACTGTGGACACACTTGGGAGATCAGCACAGCCACCCACTGCCCCCTCACTCTGACACCCTTGGGACCTCACTAACCCCAGATCCCAAACAGAGATAAAGGTCAAATTAGCTGGTTGCAGATGCCAAGGCAGAAACAGACCCTGGCTCCAGAAACCCAGCATTCAAATTTCTAGGCCTGTTCTATTAGAAGTTATATCCAGCTCGAGGTAGGGACATTAAAATGAGTTAGCGATTTATTATTTTTAATGGAGATTTTACTCATTCATTATTCATTGTTGACAGCAGTGCAGGGGCCCCCTCTCCCTAAGTACTTAGGTTTGATTATTTAATCTGGCCATGCTTGTCTCCCTTACTGCCAGCCCCCCGCCCCCCAATCCCTGAAGGAGCTTACTCTAGTTTATTCTGAATGTCCTGCCCTGCCTGCTCTAGCAGGGCCCCACGGATGAAGTTCCTAGGCACAGTGACCCGCTCAGCCACGCTACTTAGCATCTTGTTGTGGCCTTCAGCCACTCTCATTGCCACTGGGCACAGCTCCTGGGTCAGGCTGACCATTGACTCCAGGATTACCTGGGGCAGGGAGACAGAAGGGCCAGAGTCCACAGAGGGAAAACTGTAGCTCCGATAGGTTGCAACTTGTCTATGGTTATAGATCTAGTACAGCCAGCAGAGGTGGTCCTTAATCTCAGTACCTTTTTACTACACAACATTGCAATACTGTGTGTGTGCTAGAGAGAACACTAAGAGAGAAAGGGAGAGAGAGGGAGGGGAAGACAGAAACAGAGGGAGAGGCACAAAGAAAGAGACAGACAGACAGAGAGATGAAGAGAGGGAGGGAGGGGCACAGAGAAAGAGAGACAGAGAGAGGGAGGGAGAGGGAAAGAGAGAGAGACAGAAAGACAGAGATGGAGACTGATGGAGAAAGAGAGGGAGGAGGGAAGAAGAAGGGGGGGAAGGGAGAGAGAACGACAGAGACAGAGAGATGGAGAGGAGGAATAAAAACTGCAGAATACACTGGAAAAATACATTTGGAATCAGAGTACCTGGATTCAAATTTTGGCTCTATTATTTATTACCCAAGTGACTGTGGGCAAATCACTCTCTCTCTCCGGGTCTCAGCAATTTTTCTGTAAGATGGTGGTGGGGTGGTGGTAGGGATGGGGCTCCTAAGGTCCCTTCCAGCTCTAAATCTATGACCTATTATCCCCTGCTTTCCCTCCCCTCCAACCATATCAGAATTCAGAAGGGTGTGTGAAGCTAAAACCCAAAATGGAGGGTTTGGAGCCTGAGATTCGGGAAGATACAGTTTGGTGCTGGGGTCTCACATCTACCTTTTTTTTTTGTTGTCCTGGTAACTTCTGTTCAACGGTGGGGTACCCCGGGGTATGCGCTGGGGTTTCCTGTCCTCTGGGGAAGTATGACAGGTCTGCCCCACTCTCAAACAGGCTCAGGACTGGGTTTTTGTCCCCTTTGGTTTTGGTCCCTCAGTACTTACCTGCAGCTCCTTGTCCACAGCCTTGGACACCTCACTGGCCACTGACTCCAGTCTCTGTCGGACGGGCCCATCACTGGCTAGGACGTGGCCCAACTCATACAGGCTTGGGAATAGCTAGGGGGAGGAGACTGCAGTTAACAGGCCAAAACCTGGCTCTGTTTCAGTCAGCAGAGTTTGGGACTTGGAGGAGAACATATGGAGGCGAGTAACACTGGAGGCATTGTTGGGGTGAAGGGAAGGTCTTAGATCTAGCTCCAGATGCTTTCTTGGGGTTTGCTTTGACTGTCCATCTGTACTTTGGGCAGGGGGAAGTAAAGAGCCAGTGGGGCATGGAAGAGGCTGGGTTTGGGAGCCCGGGCTGTGGGGACGGGGTGGGTGGCATCGTCTGGGGCTTGGTGCTAGCTGGCAAAGGCCCAGGTGTGGGTTTCTCACCGCCCGGGAGTTCTTGGCATCCTTGATGAGGTCTCTGGCGTAGAGCAGTTCATCTTGTACTGGCTCCAGGGGGCATAACCGCAGTGCCCTAACCTCCTCCTGGACTCGCCCGCACAGCCGCTGTAGCATCTGGGCCGGGGCCCAGCAGGGGGAGTGTCAGGGAGGCATAGGGTAGGAAGGGGGAATTAGTGAGCCAAGGTCTCCCCTCCCCAACTCCATAGGGACCAGTAGCCCTCTGACTTCCCACTGGGGCAGATGACTCATGAGACTGGGAAGGTTCCTTTTGTCCTTTCCACTCTGTAGGGCTGTGATATAATATGATGGTGGTGGTGGTGGGGTGTCCTCCGGGTAGGCCGTTGTCATTTTTTTTAATCACTGTTCCATGAAGCTCAGGAGAGTGGGAGCCTGAAGGTCTCTGTGTATCTTAATGCATGCTCCCATTCCCCCTCTTTCCCCTCCCACATTTTAGTGTTTTCTTGTGTTTCCCCACATACTCTAGCCCCATGTCCCCTATAGGGGACCAGAGGGAAGCATTTACTTGCTCAGCACTGCTGGTGACAAGGCCCTGCTGCAGTCTGAATGCCTGCTCCTGTGGACAGGTCTGCGAGTGGTTATTCCGGACAAGGCACCATTGGATCTAGAGATGCCAGGGATAGGGGGAAGGCCAGAGGGTCAGGGCAAGGAGGCCACCCAAGCTAATGGGATCCTCTAGCCCACTCCAGCTACACCCTCTTTGACCCTGCCCTGACTTCTACCTGGCCCTGGAATCCCATCCCCCCCAGATTCTTCCACCTTCTGCCAGACATCCTCGGTGCGCTCTGGGGCATTGCGGTATGCCTGGGAGATGTCGCTCACAGGGAAGGACATGAAGCGAAGTGTGTGGTTGCTGTGGGAAGAGCCAGGAGGGAAACACTGAGGGAGGTACAGAGGGGAGGGTAGCTCATGTCCTAGAACCATAGGCCCTACTTCTCCTTCCCAATCCTGCTCCAAGCTTCTCACTCTTGTCCCTTTTTCCATCTGCTCTTCTGGGTGGAGGACCTTTCCTTTTTCCCACCTAAATGCCCTGCCTTCACCCCCACCCCAAATACCCAAGGAGTACTGAAGATCAGCAGTGGGTGAAGGATTACTGTGGGGTGGCTTGGGCATGGCCAAGGTCTGGGCATCTGGGATCAGGATATGCTCACCTCTCCAGGGCCCTTGCAATGTCCAGAAAGCCCAAGGCTGAAGTATTGTTCCGGTCCCACAAGATAGTCCTGGGGTAGGGGATAGGGGGAGGAGGAGGTGGGCAACCAAGTTTGTCATTCCTACTTTTGGGGACCTGGGTTGGGGTGGTGCCCTGCTTCTGGAAGGGTGGTAAGAGATGAGCTATAGATACTGGGGACAGACTGCAACCCTTCTGGGAGCTCCCCATTCCTGACTAATAGATTCTCTAGGGGTTGAGGAAGAAAGGATTGTCAGCTGCTCCAGGGATGAGGTCTCTTAGAATTTGGGGTCTTTGGGGTACAGGTTTATGTGCAGACAGAGCCTTGAAAAGTAGGGTAGCTAAGGCACGGGGTATCAGGGGCCTCAGGGAGGAGGGAATTCGAGCCTTCACCGGAGGGAAGAGTTGATCTGCAGGGCCTTGGACAGCATCTTGGCCCCAATGTCCTCCATGCCGTTGCCACTCAGGTCCACCTTGGCCAAACAAGTGTTGCTGCCCAGGGCATTGATGAGAATGCTGGTTCGAAGCTTCAGTCTTGAGTCGGCCACTGACAATGACTGCAGGGACTGGTGTTTTTTTGGGGGGGAGAGGAGAGAGATTTGGTATCAGACCCATCCCCCTCTCCCATCTCAATCCTCCTCAGTTCCCCCTGGCCCTGCCCACTGCACCAATAGCTTGGGCCCCTGTCACTCACACAATCCTCTTCCTGAATCAGCTGCACAAGTTTGTGAAGGATTTCTTCCAGGGTCCTGGGGGGGGGGGGCAATGAGAGGGCTCAAATGGTAAGAGGTGGAGGGAGAAAATGTAGAGGGGACATAGGAGGGAGATATCATGCCCTTTGGGGTGGGGTAGGAAGGCAGCAAATCTATAAAAATGGGGATATTACTGGGGTAGCTAGGTGGCACAGTGGATAGAGCACCGGCCCTGGATTCAGGAGGATCTGAGTTCAAATCCAGCCTCAGACGCATAACACTCACTAGCTGTGTGACTCCAGGCAAGTCACTTAACCCCATTGCCTAGCCAAAAAAAAACAAAAACAAAAACAAAAATGAAAATGGGGATACTACTTTCCCTATTCATGTCACAAGGTTGTTGAGAGGAATAAATGATTGTGTGTGTGTGAGCACTTGGTAAACTACAAAGCACCATACAATTATATGGCATTATTCTTGTTACATGGAGGCTAGAGAGGAGAAAAAGAAGAAAAAGTGAAAAGAAGCTACAGTCTGAGATAAACCTGGGTGGCCTAACAGGAAGAGGGTAGATCTTTAGGGGGGTACCTAGGCCTCGTGGGCACACAGGGGTTGTTGGAGACAAGAAGGGAGGGGAGGAGTTACTCACTTGGCCTTGACATTGAAGTTCTTGCCCAAGAATAGGTGCTTCAGGGATTTGTTTTTGCCAAGTGCCGGCACTAATGTTAGGAGATCAGAGTCGAACCCTGGGCCAGAGTCACAAGGAGATGATTGGGTCTCTACAGCAATCCTCCCCTGCTCCGATTTCTCTGCCTGAATTGTGCCCCTTCCTTGGCCTGGGCTGGCCCCTGCCCTTTCTCACCATTGTCTGACAAGTCCAAACTCCCCACAGCACTGACAGCCCCGAGTTGCTCCTGGAGGACCTGGGCTCCTGCTGATCGAAGCTGCAGAGGAACAGGGGACAGTGTGTCCTGGGACCTTGCCTTTCCAGGACAGGGTCCAGCCCACGCCAACCCTGGACAATGAAGCACTAGCTTCACCTAGTACAAGATTTAAGTCACTAAGAACTGCCTGAGGTGTGGACCTCCAGCACCAGGGAAAAGAAAGGCCTAAAAGAACTCATACTCTCCCTTGCCCATTCCCCCGAGGCCTTTCTCCTTCCTTTTCTAGGCTTTGAAGGTAACACTGGCCTTAGATCCCATAGCTGAGTACCCCAAACCATGGCCACTTCTGCCCCCTGGTGGGGAACCCTGATACTTTGAGACCTCTAACTTAAAGAGAGATAAGGGAAAAGTAAATGGTGTAGCAGAAAAAGACCAACAGGTAATAGGTATGGGTAGGGGCACGGGCACGTAGAAGGCAGTGGTGAATACGGGACTAACGAGGCGGACCTCGGCAGACAATTGGACATTGGGGGAATTGGAGCTGCTCATGGCTCCTGGCTCATTGCAGACACTTGCTGATTGACTGATGTAGAATGAGATAGGAGGAGGGGGATGGAAGTCTCCTGGATCTCAACACAGGATCAGATATTTAGAGCTGCAAGGGAACTTAAAATTCAGCTAGTCCAACTTCTTTTTTTTTAAACAGATGAGGAAACTAAGGCACAGAGGGGTCTGGTGATTTGTCTGATGTCACAAAGTGAGTAAGTAATGGAGCCTGTATTCAAATCTAGTTCTTCTGGCTTTAAATCTTATATCCATTCTACTAACCACTGAGAACTGGGGCACAACAGAACTGGGATAGATGGGGTTTCTAGGTCAGAAGAAAGGAGTGGGCCAGAGTCGGCATTTAGTGTCTCTCACCTCACAACTGCTCAGGTCAAGATGAAGATCACTGAGGTGGCTGTTGAGAGAGAGGCCCTGGAGGAGTGCCCTGTGAGCAAGGGAATGACCATCAGGGAGGTGGGTGGTGGGGCTCCAGCTTCCAGCTACCGTATCTTCCTTGGTTCAAATTCTCCTCTGTCCCACACCCAGCTCCCCATGCCAATGGCCCCTAACCTGAGGGCCTCCAGGGGCAGACGTGTAGCTGACAGGTTGACGTGGCTCAGGGTATAAGCACTGCTGAAAAACTGCTTGAAGGCTGGTGGAGCCTCTCGGCCTTTCCTGCTGGGGAAGGGAGGGAACAGGCATTTATTAAGCACCTACTATATGCCATGTACTACTCTAAGCTCTACATCATTTTGTTTGATTCTCACAATAACACTGAGGTTATGCTACTCTTAGCTTCATTATGTAGCTGAGGAAACTGAGGCAGGCAGAGGGGATGGCAGGAAGACAGACTTAGGATCAAAGAGGCATGGATTGGTGTGTAATGTGGGGCACCCCCACCTGCATTCTTGCTAGCTTACTTCCCCAACAACCATTTCCCTCTAATAGATCCCCGTAACTTCACCCTGCCTTGTTCCCTAGGACACCTGTGGGAGCAGCTGTTTCGAGCCACGTTGAGGTAGGTTAAGTGAGAGCAGCAGCCGTGGAGAAGAGCACCCAGCAGCTATGAGAGAGAGAGAGTAAGCCAGGAGAGGGGCACAGTACAGAATGGTCCCTGGTTTTGCTCTTCATTTCCCCAATACACCCTCACCTCTTCTCCCTCAAATCATCATGTTTCCTTGACCTCTCAGTTTAGTTTGGGAGAGCTTGTACACATTGGAATGAACCTAGCTTTAAACTATTCATTTCACCCACCCCAAACCCCATGAATCTACCGGCCCACATGCTGCAGGTCCCACCTCTAACAGAAGATGACAGATTTAGACATGGCAGGGACCTTCAAGGTCATCTAGTCCAAGTCCCTCATTTTACAGATACAAAAATTGAGAGCCAGTGAGGTTAAAATGACTTGCCTGAAGTCACATGGGTAGCAAGTAGCAGAGCTGGGATTAGGCCATCCATATAATAATAAAGATGGATATAATAATTTCCACTGTACTTATTACCTTTGCCTCATCCCTCCAACTGGGCCCTTATAAATGCCAACCTTCCCCCCGCAATTCACTATACCTTGTCTCCATTCTCCTCGAACTCCCTCATTCCAGAAGTAGGAAGTCTGAGGGGAACATGTCCCAGCCCTGGTTCCCTCATCTCTCCTCCGCTATGTCCCTTTCCCTGATCCCATCTTTAGGCCTAATTCCCTCCCCCTTTCTTTTCCCTATTCTTTCTTGGGTTGTCCTTCTCACCAAGTCAATGGCGCAGTCAGTCCCAGAGAGATCCACATGGACCAGGGCATTAGGCTGAGCCAGGAAACTGTAGAGGACCTGAGACAAGAGCAAAGGAGGAAAGGTGGCAGGAAGAGGTGCTGGAGTGGGAAATATGGGGTCCCCTTTTCCCAGGGACCACAGTACAGAGGAAGCTCAGTCTTTGCAATCTGACTGACTTTGGTCAGGGGCTGATCTCTAGGTGGGCAGGGAAGACACTTTAGGTTCTTTCCAGAGGGTTCTGGGTATGGTGGAAAGAGCCCTAGTCTTAGAGTCAGAAGAACTGGGTTAAAGTTCTAGCTCTGACACTTACTAGCTAGGTGACTTTGAGCAAGCCAATTACCTGGCTGGGCCTCAGTGTCCTCATCTGTAAAATGCGTATGACTACTTGTACTACCTACCTGATAGAACTGTAGTGAAGAAGGAACTTTTGTAAACTTAAAAAGGGCTGCATCAATGTGAGTGATTATTATTAAAATAGGGAAGGATTTGGGGAATATGGCTGGACCTTAACTCACATTGGCTTCATCAGTAGCGAGCAGCCCTGGGTTCTTGCTCAGGTCCAGATGGCGTAGGGAACTGGCAAAGGCTGGGTTGGCACCGAAGGTCTGACCCAGCGCTAGGAGCCCTGGCCACGTTGGACAGTAGGCTGGGTCACCACCCACAATAGGCACAGTTATCCCCTTTCCCTCCCCCATCCCCTTTCCCCTTTCTCTTTATCCTTCTCAAATGGGTACTCTCCTCATGCCATCTCTCTGGCCCTGGCATGGCAATGTGGCCATGTTTTCTTAACCTTTTAGGAGGGAACAGGAATTTAGGGCTCCAAGAAGCAGGGTTTTTTTTTTGGGTGGGTGGGTTAGTCTCAAAAAGGTCTTGGTAGTTCTGGGAACTCAGCACTGTGAGGACCACCCCCTGACCCCCAGTCAGCCCTGTGCCGTTCTAAGACCTCTGTACCTCGAGGGGAGATGGCAGTCTTGGACAGGCACAATTTGGTGAGGCCTGTAGGGAAGCAGAGGAGCTGCTGGCTTAGACTGAGAAGACCTAAGAGGGGACAAAGGACCTGTCTGAGTGATGGAGAGATAAAACAGGGTGGAGGGTGGGTCTGGGTTTGGATTCAGGGCTAGGGTCAAGGATATGGTTGTTGGCACTGGGATCAGGGCCCAAGCTGGAGTCAGAATTGGGATCTGGGGCCAGGACTGGGGCCTGATTTCATGATTTCAAAGGGAATCCAGCTTGGGAACTTTCACCTTTGTCCTCGATGGGATTGTGGGATAGAGTCAGGGCATGTAACACACAGCTTCCATTCTCCCCAAACACCCCAGCCAGTTTCTGGGCAAAGTCCCTTCAGGGAAAAAAGAGGAAAGGTTTTGTCTCTTGCTGGGATTACTCACAGCCCTCCCCACCCCCTCCCCCATCTCCATGCCCTGTAATCTCTTTGGTCCTGACTCCTAACCTTCCTGGTGACCTTGCTGTCTCTGGGTACAGGTTCAATCACTGATCTTGCCTCATGTGGATGATGGATTCCCAGGAGGGACCTGTCTTAGAGAAGCTAGGTGTCTGGGAAGGAGCCGGGAGGCCTAACTTGGGTAGAATCCCCTTTACGGCTGTAGTTCAAACTTCATATACCAATGTAAAACCCAACCAGAAATTTTTAAGGCTGGGATAGAGCAATTAAAAATTGGGCATAAAGGAGCTATGCTGGGACACAGCCACTCAATCTGGCATTAATTACATGCAAATCATATGCAAGTGAGTAGCCTGCTGCCAAAGTGTAAGAGGAATAGCATTGGATTGGGAATCAGAAGATCTGAGGTCCACTGGCTAGCTGTGTGACCACAGGTAAGGCATTTAACCTCCCTTGGGGCTTAGTTTCCTCATTTGTAAAATAGTGGGGTGGGGTGCTTCAGCAGATGAACTCTAAAGTCCCTTCCAGCTCTAACATTCTGTAGTTCTTTAAGCAGAGCTCTGGGAGTGTTCTGGCTTGGAAGAAGCTACTCCCAGCCTCCAGAGACTCACGTCTTGAGGCCAGCATTGTCCAGCACCAGTTCTTCTAGGCTCCCCGACTTGCTCAGGGTGTGTAGCACCTGTTCCAGAACCTCTGAGCCCTGAAAGAGGGGGGCACTGAGGTAAAGGCCTGGAAGCAACACTCTTTCTCCCTTCCTGTCCCACATGCTGGCCCATCCTGGTGCCTACCAGGCGTAGATCCTTGCAGTGGAGTTTGGTAAACCACTGGTTGTAAGCTAGGGCTGCCACCATCAATGCCAGGTCCCTAGAAGGGAGATGGATAGATAGGCTGGAGAAAGTAGCAGGGGAAGGAATGCAGGAAATGCAAGAAGCCTGAATGGGATGGCAGGCAGTATGTAGAAATGTTGGAGTCAAGGTGGAATCAGGTTTTGAGTTTCTAGAAAAGGGATACAATGGGAGAAGTAGCAAAGCTCAAGGAAGAAAGTGGGGTGTGGATGTAGAGATGGGGGCTGGCCATTCTCGCCCCCTGCTGCCCCACCTGCTTACCGGCTCTCCAAGTGGCTGAAGTCCAAAAGATTGAACTCACGGTTGTCCTCTGCATGATAGATTGTGTCCACATCCTAAAGGAGATGAACCCCAATTCTCTCTTGACCCCTATCTCAGCCTCCCTGGTTTCCTTCCCCTTCCCTCCTTCTCTACTCCTCAATCCCATAAATACACCAACCTTCCTTCTTACATCTGGAAACCAGCGACACCCAACTTACCCATTGCACCTCCTCCCGGCAGTGCAGCCCATTGTAGTCACACAGAGCAGCATAAGTCTCAGAGAAGCCACCTTCATGGAGTGGGGAGATTTGTTGGTTCCAGGGGAGAAGTGAGTGCAAGGGGTCAGGGTTGAGGATGCAAGCAGTGTGATGTAATAGAAAGAGTGATGAATTTGAAATACCCAGGTTTGAAAACAGACAACTGGTCTCAAAGCTAGAAAGACCCAGGTGCTGGTCCTGCCTCTGACATATACTGGCTGTGTGAGCTCTAGGTAACTCGGATAGACTCTAAATTCCAGGAAAAATGCAGACCTATGCAGAGAGAGGAAGTTCCTCACCCAGAGCTGTCATGACCTTGATGAAGGAATACGCTGAGTCCCTATCCTATGCCTACTGTCTTGGTGGGAAATTGACTAACCTATTCTACATGTCAGGGTCTCAGTTCTCTCATCTCTAAAATGAGGTGGATGGATTAGGTAACTTTTAAGGTCCCTTTCAGCTCTAAAATCCTACAAAAGGTCAGGACTTTTGTGTCTTCGTCTCATATCTCCAACTAGTGACCTTGGGCAATTTACTTAATCTTGACAAGCCTCAGTTTGTCACTAATATAATATTTATATTATATTAAATATTATTATTAAATATTAAAATATATACTACTTGCATACCTGACAGGATTATTGATAACAATAATAGTTGATACTGACGGCTTGCCAAGCACTCTACCTATATCATGTTATGCTGTCCTCACAGCAACTAGTTTGCTTTTGTATAAGTCTATGATTTCATTGATGTAGTCAGTTCCTGACAGTGATAATTATTCTGCAGCTGCAGTAGGTGCCTCCATTTCTTTTTCCTCTCACTCTCTTCTTAATTCCTTGTTGTCTGGCTTCTGACCTCATCACTCAATCAAAACAGCCCTCTCCAAAGTTACCAATGATCTCCTGATTGCCAAAGATTGCATCTTGGGCCATCACCATGACTTATGTCTTGCCACTGGACTCTGATGATTCTGGAGGAGAAAGCGAGGCTGATGACTTTTCGAAGCTCTGCCTCACTTAAATCCAATTCACTCACAAATCAAAACATCACCCTAGTGATGTCTGTGGTCCTCTTCGAGAATGAAGGGCGGACAACAATAACAGTTGCCAAACCAGTGGCCTTTTCTCAACCCTCATTCTTCCTGATCTTTCTGTATTTGACACTGGTGACCACCCTCTTCTCCTTAATACTCTTCTCTCTAGGTTTCTGGACACTACTTTCTCCTGGTTCTCCTCCTACCTTTCTGACACTCCTCTTCAGTCTCCTTTGCTGGCTCATGACCACTGACTGCGGGTGTCCCACAACTCTGTACTGAGCCTTCTCTCCTTCCTCTGTACTGTTTTGTTTGGTGATCTCATTAGCTCCTCTATCCTGATGATTCTCAAATCTACCTATCCAGCCGTAACCTCTCTGTTGACCTGTAATCTCGAATTTCCATCTGCCTATTAAAAATCTCAAACTGTATGTCCAGCAGACATCTTAAACTGAATGTGTCCAAGGCTGGACTCATTATCTGTACCCTTAAGCCCTCCCCTCTTCCAAACTTCCCTTGTTACTACTGAAGGCATCTTCTCAGTCCCCAGTGGATGTCATCCTCCACTCTTCACTACCTCTCACCCTGCCTCCCCCATATTCAATCTGTTGTCATAGCCTGCAAATTCACCTTTGCAACAACTCTCAGATACACCCCATTCTTTCTTCTGATACTGCTACCACCCTGTTACAAGCTCTCATCACCTTACATTTTGTATATTGCAATAGCCTACTGATTAGTATACATGCCACATGTCTCTCCCCTCTTCTGTCTATCCTTCATTCAGCTGTCAAAGTGATTTTCCTAAAGAGCAGGTCTGCATGTCACATCAACCCCCCCCCAACTCAGTAAACTCCAGTGGCCCCCCTTTCACTTCTAGGATCAAATACATAATCCTATTAGGCATTCATACCCTCTCTCCCCCTTCTTAAACCTTATACCCCACTATGCACTCTTCAATCTAGTGACAATGGCCTCCTTGACATTCCTTAAGAAAGAAAGCTCATCTCCTTAATCCAGTCATTTTCACAAGCTGTCCCCCATGCCTGGAACGTTCTCCCTCCTCATCTCCACCTCCTGGCTTCCCTGGTTTCTTTCAAGTTCCAGTTAAAATCCTACTTTCTACAAGAAACCTTTCCTAAACCCTCTTAATTCTAGTGTCTTCCTTGTTAATTATTTTCTATTTATCCTGCATATAACTTTTTATTTTGTTATTTTATTTTATTTTGTTATTTATTTATTTTTATTTATATTTCTTTCTTGTTTCCTCCATTAGATTGTGAACTCCTCAAGGCCATGGGCTGTCTTTTGCCTTTCTTTGTATCCCCAATGCTTAGTACAGTGTTTGGTGCTTATAATAAATGCTTATTAACTGAATGACATATAGTCTTCGTGCTTATAATAAATGCTTATTAACTGAATGACATAGAGTCTTAGAGTCATCTGGAAAACTGAGAGACCAAGTGACTTATCCATGATTATATATGCAGTATATCTCAGAAGCAAGACTTCAACCTAGGTCTTCTTGAAGCTAAGGATGACTCTATGTACTTTGACACAATGCCTTGCATGAAGTAGGTACTAAAGTTATGATTCTAATATTTTAGATGAAGAAATTGAAGCTCACATAGGGTAGGTGATTTGCCTGGCATCTTACAGCTAATACATGTCAAAGTCAGGAATCCTACCCAGGTCTCTCCTCACCCTAAGTCCAACATTCTTTTCCATTACATAAATAGAATGTCAGCTCCTTGAGGACAAGTATTATTTGATTTTTTTGTTTTTTTATCCCCAGCACTTAGCACAGTGTAGGCATTTAACAAATGCTTGTTAACTGAGTTCTATAAAAAGCTGCTTGTTGTAAGAAAATTATTTTGTAAAATATTCCATAATAATGAGCTATAATTATATATTGCTGACCCCTCAAGGGTAGTAATCACATCTCTTCCTTTTTGTGTCCTTCACAGTGTTTTGCATGTAGCTGATTGCAACAGTCATGCTGATGGGCTATCATAGCTGCTTCCAGAGACAAGCTGGGATGGATAAGATCAGGGACAAAGCTGGGTTTAGGGTAAGTGTCTCCTTGGATAGGGGTGGGGTGGGGGGGAGAGTATGTCTTATTCTCACCACAGACACTGTGGGTGGTAGATGTGGAGGTCTCAGAGTTGGGGGATGTGTCCCGGGGCCCCTCAGGGGTCTCAGGGTTTCCACGCCGGATCAGGCACCTAGAGAAATAATGTGTCCAGCCCAGAATGAGGTTGAGTGAGCTTTCTTTAGTTCCTTCCAAACCCCAGCTCCAGAACCTCTGCCAGATGACAGGTAGATGCAGTGCCCTGAGAAGGAAGACGTCTCCCATCTCCCCCCTCTGCCCGTGATCCAAATTCCTCAGCTTTGTCCTGAGCGCATGGGGCCCTTCTTGAAGCTGTGACTCACCCAGGGCCTGGGCAGACCTTGGCTAGTGCTCTGCTCACATGTCTGGTCACTTGCTCAACACTCTCTGCTGATGGCAATCGCATGCTCACAGTACCACGTTCGGTCTCCACCAGGATCTAGGGAGAGAGACACGGTGGCAGGCCCTCTAATAAAACTCCAACCTCAGTCACCCCACTTTTCACCTCAATTCCTCCAAGATCAAACACAAACTCCATAGTTTGGTTTTTAAAACCCTTCACCACCTGGCCAATGCCAGGCTAGTCCTTTTATACCTTACTCTCCTCTACAAACTACACAAACCCAACATTTCATCTGATTCCTTTTCACTGTCTGGCCTCCCCAAGTGTAATGTTCTCCCTCTTCCCTGGCTTCCTTCAAGACTCAGGTCAAATTCCACTTTCTGTAAGATGACTCTCCCAGTCTCTCTCACTGATAGCACCTTCCCTCTGAGATTACATACATTTTGTATGCACATGGTGGTTTGTATGCTGTTTCCCCCTCCATTAGACTGTGGGCTTCTCAAGGACAGGAACTATGTTTTTGCCTTTTGTTGTATTCCCAGTGCTTAGCACAGTGCCTGGCACATAGTAGGTTCTTAATAAATGCTTATTGCCTTGCTGAATATTGAGGGTAAGCAACAAGCCCTTATATTTTCACAGCTTAGTTTTCTGCTCTTACCTGGTTCTGGTTGAGAGTACTGAAGGTTCGGATCTCTAGGACATTGAAAGAGCTCTCCACCTGGGGCAAGAGGATGGATGAAGTTTAGTTCAGGTGAAAGAGTATGGGCTGGTCTAGAAGGAGAGCTCTGGGGGTCTGACCCTACTCTCTCCAGCTCTTTGAACTCACCTTAGCTGGGATTTTTAGAGGGAACAGATGGAGGCGCCAGGCAGTGAGAGCCTAGAGTGGAGAGAAGAGAGAGTTAGCTTGCTGAAGGATGCTACCTTTACAATCCTTACTAAGTCTTAGTCTCCATCACTCCCCATGAACTCCCTTCATTTCCATCATTATTATCCTTTATTCCTATTATTTTAATTAGTTTTTTAAAAAAAATTTGCCCGTAGAATTCAGACAGAAATACTCCCGGGCAAGTTGCTATTATTTCTGTTACTATTATTTCATATTTAATGTCCTGTGAAATATTGCACAAATAGATGAAATAACTGCCTTTAGTTGCTGAATAAAAGTATTGGGATACAGGTTAATCTTCTGTAGACTTATAGAAAGCATCCTCAGGACAACTCCAGTAGCAGAGAGATTCTTGTTATTATTAAATGTTATTATTAAATTATTAAATTAAAAATTATTAAATTAAAGTTTAGTCTTCCTGCTCTCAGTCCTGTCCGTGTTCCTTTCTCACCCACCCTGGCCCCTCTTCTGCCAGCCTTTGCCCCCTCACCAACACTCGGTCTTCATACTTCTTGGGCTTGGTCTCCAGTTTCACCTGATGCTGTTGGTGCACAGCCCCTCGGCTCAGGCATCGACGGATGCTTTCTGTGGTAGTGGCGGTGGTAGTGGGAAACATGGTGTGAGTGCTGTTCAGAGTAGTATACCCCTTACCCTTACCAAAGCTCCCTCCCCTGGGCTCTCAGAAAAGAGAGAAACAAAGCAAAGACAGGAGCAGGTAAGAGGCAAAGATATAATGAGGGAATGAGACAGGAAACCCAAGAAACAAAGAGGGGCAAAGACACCACCCCTTCCCTGGGCTAAGTCTTTGGTATTATCCAGATGGGTCTATAAACTTGGGTAACTGGATGTCCCAGAGATATTGTGTGTGTGTGTGTGTGTGTGTGTGTGTGTGTGTGTGTGAGAGAGAGAGAGAGAGAGAGAGAGAGAGAGAGAGAGAGATTGTAAGACTATGTCACTGTGTGTGGGTGTGTGTGTCTGTGCACTTCTGAGGGTGTGAAGCTTTTTTTCAACCTGTGTTAAACAGTATTCACTGCATACAACAATGAGTCAATGTTACTCCGTGTATATGAGGGCGTAGTGTGTCCCTAGGATTGGTTTGGTATGAGGATATAGCCATTGCTTCACATTTGTGTTAACACCAGTGCATGTTAACTGAAGGTGTCAGTGTGACTACTTGACAGTGGGTGGTGGGTATGAGTATGTGCTAGGGAAATATTATGGAAAGATAAAAACCAGGAAATCAGTTTGAGTTATTCCATATAGGAAGACATGGAGTAAGGTAGTGCCCGTGTGAGTGTGCATTCAAGTCCCATGCCTTTCAGTTCTCAAAAATATACAGTGTATGTGTGGGTGGGAGTGTGTGGTTACAGTGTGTCTATATGCCTTCCTGTTTCGGTTATTCTTCAATATTTTGCCAATAGTTATATGTGACCCTGGTTGTGTCCCATCCTTGGGCCAGTGATCCAGAGGACTGAAGGATGGGTTTGAAGATTACTCTTCACTTTGAGTGCTATCTAGGAACGCATATTAACAAGGAACGGGGGAAGGGCAGGGGAACAGGAAATTGGTGGTGGGCACTGGGGGCGTCGAGGAAGTAGAATTTAACTCCAGAACAGCGTCTCTTCTCTGCTTTCCCTTCTACGACCCACTCCGCCCCGGCACTGCCCCCACCCATCCGGTCCCAGGGGCTCTAGAGGAGTCCGGGGTGGGGCAGGGTAGGATATAGAAGCAGACGCAACACTCAGGACCAGGGGCAGCTCCCTATGTCTGCCTGGGCGGACCAGGCCCGGGGCAGCTGAGAAGGGGGAATCTTAAAGCTAGAAAACCCCGGGGATGGACTAAGGGACCGGTCAACGACCAGAAGCTCCGGATGGGCCCAATGGGGAACGCAAGGAACTGCACCTGTCACGAAGGGGCGGGGCGGGGCTGGGCGGCCCGGGGACAGGGAGGTACAGAGTGGGGTGAAACACCGGTCGGTCGGAGGGGTGCAGGGAAGGGTGGGGGGAGCCAGGATGAGCTGGAGACAGCAATGCACTAGGGTTGCAATGCATGGAGGAGCGCGATGCATGAAGCAGCGGGTTGCACCAGAACTGGGATGCATTGAAGAGAGGGATGCACGCGGGAGGAGGATGCACCCGGGGCTGGGATGTACTGGGGAGAGAAATGCACCGGAACGGGGATGCTCCAGGACGGGGCTTTTCCTGAGCCCGCAGCGCCCGCCCTCGTACCTTGCAGCTCGCGGGTGAGCTCCGCGCTGGGCTTGGCCATGGCGGCTGCTGCTGCTGCAGAGGAGCCGCCGCTGCCGCCGCCGCTGCCGCCGCCGCCGCCGCCGCCGCCGCTGCCCGGGAGCCGCGGCACATGCTAGACTCGGCTCCGGCAGGGCCCCGGCAGCTAGCGCTGCAGCAGCCGCTGAGCCTCGCTCACAGTCAGGGGCGGCTGCGCGAGCAGAACAGTCCTCCTCTCTCCTCCCCCTTCCCCCGATGCCGGGTCTCCCTCCCAGCCCCACGAGGAGCGGGATAGAGCATGCGCACAGGGTCTTCTCCGAGCTAGCTGTTCCGAGTGCTGGCGCGTGCCTAGCTTCCGCGGGGCTCTTTAATACATTGCCCAGAACTCGCAGTGCTTGGGGTCGGCTGCTGACCTCCGACCTTGCACCGCCTACCGTCTGCTGCTAGCCTCCAGTCCCAACCCCCCTCTTCTGGGCTGCATGCTCAACACTTTTCTTTCTTTTGTTCTCCGGGCCTGGACTGTCTCTATTTCTTCTCAGGTCATTCTCCTTCCTGTGCCCCTCCCCCCAGACTGACGCCACGGGTGGGCCACCCTTCCATCTCACCCCACAGTCACCCACATGGGGGCTTTAAGGCCGGGCTAGACTCAGGTTTCGGCTTGAACACGTAAAGCTCTCTCTCTTCGTTGGGGGAGTGGGGTGAGGAGTGGGATCTGTGAGATGGGGTTTCTGTCTTCCCTTCTTCCTTCTCTTAGTCTGATCTGACATGTCTCCACCGGTGTGTGCCTGCTAAGAGTAGCTCCCCAGGAAATTCCCGTGGCACCTTCGTCTTCCCTGGCTCTCAGCTTGGCACCTCCACCTCTTTAGCATCACACTTGCTTGGGAGGTAGCCCCGAGCAAGGAGGTGTAACACTGCCTTTGGGAGGCTCTCTTGAGTCCTGTATAGCCTTGCCCAAGAAAAAAAAAACCAACTGCCGTTAGTTTCCTTTATTTCCCAAATGACGAATCAACCAGCCAAAAAAAAAACCCAGCGATCATTTACTTATTTTTCAAGTTTATTTGATTTTTAATGGCACAGAAATCAGAGATTTGCCCCTTCCCCCACTGTCTCCCCGGGTCTTTCCATCCTACCTCCAGTGTTTCTAAGTCTCTTTTCTCTTCCCTGTCCCGGACTTAGTTTCAGTCTTCACTCCCTCTTCCCTGCAACTGGGTTTAGTGTTGCAAAAAGTAGATGGGTGGATTTGGTCTAGAAAAATGAGTACTTCAGCTCTACCTTCGTTCTCACGTAGAGTTTTATACAGGACAGATTCCCTTAAGGACGACTTTTATTCCCATACATGGCAAATAGAGGGAACCCTGGCTGCTTACACAGGCCATTTTTTTTTTTAAATCCAGGGAAGTCAGTAGGATGGGCAAGGTTAGAGAAAATGAATCTCCGAACTCAGAAGTCGAGGTCCAATCTTGAGCCCTCTCTTCATTATAGATAGCTGCTAGAATCTCAGGGTGTTCTTCCTAGGCTGATCAAAGACGGGAACGGGCCCCTCCAGCCACTACTATTGTTTCTCCCGAGATGTAGCTAGCATCCGGTGAACACAGGAAAGACACGATGCCTGCACATTCATGAGGTTCACCCAGCCTGGGAAACAATCATAATCATAATAATAAGAATAATTACAGTTCACATATTAGCACCTTATGAAACCTCACTGGATCCTCACAATAGTCCTCAGAGGGAATAGTAAAAATGGGGGATACAATCAAGTGGCTTGGATACCTTGACCCAGCTCTTTCTAGTCAACTGCCCAAAGCAAATAACATTTGTTTGTTAACAGGTAGCAAATAGATTTCTAGGTACCAGCCTAATCTGTTCCCTCTCCTTAATCTGTATCTGAAAGGGTTTTGTAAATACATGGTTTTAAGAAATACAGTACTACTACTACTACTACTACTACTACTACTGAAGGCAGTGTGATATGTAGACTTGTAGTTTGGAAGAATTAGGTTCAAAACCAACCTCTGACCCACTGACCTAGTCCTAAACTATGCTTCTAGCAACTCCCCAGGATTTAGATACTAAATTATATGAACAGATGGCCATCTTTGGTGGAGAGAGGTCTCCAATAGCAGGAATTCTCCTGTATTGATGAAATCACAGATATGTCATGTGTTTGTGTAATAATAATAATTCTACTAAGTAGATTCCTCATCTTGGTGACCCTGAGTTCTTTAAAAGGAATATACACTCTAGGAGGTCTTACCAAACTGGAATAGGATTCAAGTACAGACTAAGTGACAGACAGTACATCTGTCCTCTGAGAACCAGCCTAGCTAAATTCAGGCTCATCAACAGATTGGCCTAAAACTGATGAATATTTTGGTTGTAGCAACTCTCAAAGACCACCTATGATGTCACAGATGAATTGCAATAGGCATCACCGGAGGGTAAACCCATACTGATGAAATCATAAGCTGTTGAAGAATTATAGGAGTAATATCATAATAAAATAATTTGGATTTTGTTCAGACTTGCCCTGTGAGTACATTGATGTACAGAGCTAAAGTAAGGGAATCCCCTCTACCAATGAAGACTAGCAAATACTCAGTAACTTACAGACTTAGAGAACTGCTTTAGGGAATTGGGAGGTTGAATTTTTTGCTCAGAGGCAAGCCAGTCTAGATGGGATAGAGATGGCATTTGAACCCATATTTTTTTGACTCTAAGGCTGACATTTTACTTTTATATCACACTGTCTTGCTGTTATAAAATGATGATGACAAATTACAGGTTTACATTGCTTTAAGAAAACTCAATATAAAAAAACTAAAGTTTTGTTGTTCAGTCATTTTTCAGTAGTTTCTGATTCTTCCTGACCCCATTTGGGGTTTTTTTGGGCAAAGATATTAGAGTGGTTTTTCATTTCCTTGTCCAGCTCATTTTACAGATGAGGAAACTGAGGCAAACAAGGTTAAATGACTTGCCCAGGGTCACACAGCTAAGAAGTGTCTGAGGCCAAATTTGAACTCATTGACAATGAGTCTTCCTGACTCCAGACCTGGTACTCTATCCACTGTGCTACCTAGCTGTCCCTATAAATAAGGGGTAGTGGTAATTATTTGTATTACAAAGGGTTCTTCCCTTCACTAAAGATGACACTGAGAACTTTCTTTTTTTTTCACAATAATAATAAAATTTATTTCTGCATTTGGCAAAGTCATTTTTTTCCAGCCTATGTTCTTTAGGTGCCTTTTTTTGTTGTTTTTTTCCTTTTTCTTTTCTTGTTTTTTTTCCACATGCTTTTGAGTTGAAAATTTTTCTCCCTTTTCCTACCCCCCCCCAAGATGGCGCACAATCTGACATAGGCTTTACATTTACATACCCATTAAACATATTTTCACATTAGTGAAGTTGTAACTAAAAATTAGAACCAATAGGAGGAACCATCAGAAAGATGAAACAAAACTCAACAGAAGGTAAAAATAAGTGATAGCGATTCGACCTCCATAGTTCTTTCTTTGGATGTGGACAGCATTTTCCATCCCAAGGCCTCTGGAGATGTCTTAGATCCTCATAATGCTGAGAAGGGTTCAGTTTAACAATCTTAGTCATTGCATAACGTGGCTGTTATTGTGTACAAAGTCCTCTTGGTTCTGCTCACTTCACTCAGCATCAGACCATGTAAGTCTTTCCAGGTTTTTCTGAAGTCAGCCTGTTCATCATTTCTTATAGCACAATAGTATTCCATTACATTCATATACCACAACTTGCTCAGCCATTCCCCAATTGATGGGCATCCTCTCAATTTCCAATTCTTTGCCACCACAAAAAGAGCTGCTATGAATATTTTTGTACATGTGGGTCCTTTTCCCATTTGTTTGATCTCTTTGGGATATAGCCCTAGAAGTGCTATTGCTGGATCAAAGGGTATGCACATTTTTGTAGCCCTTTGGGCATAGTTCCAAATTGTTCTCCAAAATGGTTGGATCATTTCACAACTCCACCAACAATGTATTAGTGTTCCAATTTTCCCACATCTTCTCCAACATTTATCATTTTCCTGTTTTGTCATGTTGGCCAATCTGATAGGTGTGATGTGGTACCTCAGAGTTGTTTTGATTTGCATTTCTCTAATCAATAAATTTAGAGCATTTTTTCATATGACTATAGATGGCTTTAATTTCTTCATCTGAGAACTGTCTGTTCATATCCTTTGACCATTTATCAATTGGGGAATGGCTTGTGTTCTTATAAATTTGTCTTAATTCTCTATATATTTTAGAAATGAGGCCTTTATCAGAGAGACTGGTTGTAAAAATTCTTTCCCAATTTTCTACCTTCCTTCTAATCTTAGTTGCATTGGCTTTGTTTGTGCAAAAACTTTTCAATTTAATGTAATCAAAATTATCCATTTTGCTTTTCATAATGTTCTCTATCTCCTGTTTGGTCATGAATTCTTCTGTTCTCCATAGATCTGATAGGTAAACTATTCCTTGTTCTCCCAGTTTACTTATGGTATCAGCCTTTATATCTAAGTCATGAACCCATTTTGACTTTATTTTGGTATATGGTGTGAGATTTGGGTCTATGCCTAGTTTCTGCCATACTCTTTTCCAGTTTTCCCAGCAGTTTTTTTCAAAGAGTGGGTTCTTATCCCAGAAGCTGGGGTCTTTGGGTTTATCAAATAATAGATTACTATAGTCATTGACTACTGTGTCTTGCATATTTAACCTATTCCACTGATCCACCTCCCTATTTCTTAGCCAGTACCAAGCAGTTTTGATGATTGCTGCTTTATAATACAATTTAAGATCTGGAATTGCTAGGCCACCTTCCCCTGCATTTCTTTTCATTAGTTCCTTTGATATTCTGGACCTTTTGTTTTTCCAAATGAATCTTGTTATTATTTTTTCTAACTCTATAAAATAATTTTTGGTAGTTTGATTGGTATGGCACTGAATAAGTAAATTAGCTTAGGTAGGATTGTCATTTTTATTATATTAGCTCGGCCTACCCATGAGCAACTGATGTTTTTCCAATTATTTAGATCTGATTTTATTTGTGTGAAAAGTGTTTTGTAATTGTGTTCATAGAGTTCCTGGGTTTGTTTCGGGAGGTAGACTCCTAAATATTTTATAATGTCTACAGTAAGTTTAAATGGGATTTCTCTTTCTATCTCTTGCTGTTGGGCTTTGTTGGTAATATATAGAAATGCTGATGATTTATGTGGGTTTATTTTATAGCCTGCAACTTTGCTAAAGTTGTTTATTATTTCAAGTAGTTTTTTACTTGATTCTCTAGGATTCTCTAAGTATATCATCATGTCATCTGCAAAGAGT